CTCATGAATTGAATGTTTACCAGGTTTAGCACTAGCCCCTATTGATGATGCACTATTTGTGTTGGTTGTCTCCATCTTTTCAGTGACTTTTTGGCATGGTGCTTTCCTTCCTTCCTTTTTCTTTAACAGGATATATTCAAAGAGTTCTATCTAAGTAAATACAGTGGAAGGCGTCTGATGTGGCAAAATTCTTTAGGTCACTGTGTCTTAAAGGCAGAGTTTCCTAAAGGTAAAAAGGAGTTGGCTGTGTCCCTCTTTCAGGTTGGTATTTTAAAAACTAAATCTCCATTCAGTTCATGTTTTTCTGTCTTCTTGAACAAACCCTTCTTGTCCAGTGTTTAGGTGTTTGCTTTTAAATTCTCTTGTACAATCATGGGGGATATTTATATTTTACAACACAGCACTTCTTGATTAGTTCTTATAGAAAAGTTCCTTTTACATGATATATTTTTACTGGAGAACTTGTTACTTGATAACAAATATTTAAGGCACGTTACCTAAGTTGTCCTTTTTTCTCCATCAATTCTGCAAGCCTATCTGTTCAGTTCTAACATCCTGGTAAATTTTGTGGGGTATGCTCTAGACTGTTGTTCTGATGCTATTCAATGACGCTGAGAAATTTAGCTTTCAAGACATTAGAGATGCTACTGGTATCGAAGACAGAGAATTGAGAAGGACTCTGCAATCACTTGCATGTGGAAAAGTTCGTGTTCTGCAGAAGGTGTGTGACTAATTGCTGAAACACCAGTTTATAAAGTCAGATTTTGATTATGATCTCTTGGAAACTTGGTGCTGATTCCCTTTGATGATATGCAACAGTTGCCCAAAGGAAGAGATGTGGAGGACGATGACTTATTTATTTTCAATGAGGGGTTTACTGCTCCTCTCTACCGCATAAAGGTATGGCTGCCATTGCTTCATGAATGATAGGAATTTTTTGAATTGAATATCATATTTTGGCATTTACTTTAATAAGTGAAGTCACTCAAGTTTATTTGGATTTATCCTGTCACTTGCATTTGAGATTAAGCTTATGATGATCGTGGTTTCTATTTTACAGGTAAACGCAATTCAGATGAAGGAGACAGTGGAGGAGAATACAAGTACCACTGAGAGAGTTTTCCAAGACCGTCAGTATCAGGTCAAGTTTCTTTCCCTTTCTCTTTCCAAATTTTCTTTCTTCATGATGCTTTCACATTGTTTTAATTTTATGAGCCATAAGATATGAGCGTTACTGCAATGGTATATTACAGGTTGATGCTGCTATTGTGAGAATAATGAAGACTCGTAAAGTCCTAAGCCATACCCTTCTTATTACCGAGCTCTTCCAACAGGTAAATTCCTTTTCCCTTTCATCATCTCAAACAAAATAATCATTCTCTAAAATGGTTTGTTGCACAAATGTAAAGGAACAAAATATGAAATAAGCTAAAAAACGTTATGAACAAACCGAACGGGCTGTAAATCCCCAGGTAGTTCCTTGGTATTCAGATGGAGTTGATGTGGGAAGGGGAGCAAATCCTTGATATCATCCCCGAGGACAAAATTTACTCTAGAGAAAGCTCAAAAAGATCCTTAACTTTGATTTAGAAATTGAAGGAGAATAAATTGAGTTGTAACTTCAGACAAAGAGAAAACTCTAGAGTTACCACCTTCCATTGATCTCTGAAGCACTGATTTTTAAAATGTCGATGCATCTCTAGTACATGACTGCGCATACAAGATACAATATGACACTTAAAATAAAATTACTTTTAGATAATTACATATTTTGCCATGTGTGTTTCATGTTATGTCTCAGATGCAGAACGGGGGAGGAGAAAGGGAGATGAGAGAATATAGAGAAGAGAAAAACTAATAGGAGAAGTAAAACAATGTCAATTCTGATTCATTTAAAAGGCATGTACAAAGCAAATGCATTAAAGCACTATTTATGGGCCTTAACTTTAACCCTAGAATTAAACACAATAATATTATCAAAATTCTAAAATTAAATTGTAAAGATAACAATAATTGATAAAATAGTAAAAAGATAACATTAAATGCATAATTACGATGATTAAAGCAAAATATTCTGAAATCTTCCAATTAAGTTCCATCATTCTCCGATACGTTGGGGCTTCTTAGTTGGCTGATAATATTGTAAGATATACCATGCCTTGCGTTAGCTTTTGGAGAGAACACTGATTTTAGGAATGAAATTTTTGTTTCTTGGGTAACAGCTGAAATTTCCAATAAAACCAGTGGATTTGAAGAAAAGGATTGAAAGCCTCATTGACAGGGAGTACTTGGAGAGGGATAAAAACAACCCTCAAATATACAATTACCTTGCATAGTATGTTTTCCCATCATCTCCACATTTCACATTTCTTTTTCTTTTTTTTTTCTTTTTTTTAAAAGACATGGGGGAGAGGCTCCAATCTCCATGTTTTTATCCCCATGTCCTATGTACAGTAATTGTAGTCTTCCTTTTTTTTTTTTTTTGGTTATCCCCTATCATTTATTGACGATTGTACTGTAATTGTAAAGGTATAATTGTTGTCTGGAAGAAGTTTTTGATAACCCTCTTGAAAGTCTCCTCCTTGAAAGCACTTCAGTATTTATTTATTTATTTTTTAGAGTGAAAAAGCACTCAGCTGATATATGATATTATCGGATTATATTCTAGTATAGAGTGGAAGTAACTCTCTTTAACATGATTTTTTTTTTTCAATCCATAAGATGTATACTTTTGGACCAATGTTCTTGAAACTGGACCATCCGATTAGAATGAACACCTCACCTGTACAGTCTTTTCACTGCTGGTGGAAAAGTTATTAATTGGGGGGTCCTTCCCTCTTGTGCATTGTATCTCAAAAGTCAAAGAATCCTCCTAGTCACTGTGCTCGCTTTTTCTTTTTCTAATTTCCTTCCTGCCAGAGAGACACGGAAGAAAGGAGCTATCTTGAGGCTAACAAACCAGATGGAAAGTATCCTGGCCCAATATCATTGACTTAAATTTTCAGCGTAGAGACAAGAGACAGGGAGGAAAAAAATCCCCTAGGACACTGTTTAACTCATCTGGTCTTTTTCAGTGTGTGTTGTCATAATCATTTTGAAGATCGTGAAACTAGTGCCATTGTCAAAGTGCCACTCTCCCTATTGGATCAGCTATTTGACTTGATTGTGAAATCATAATAGACTTGTCGGTTTGCGGATTATATTCTGTTTTATTAAAGCATTTAGTTTTGGGTATAATGGTATAATTATCTAGTATTTAATACAATTAAATATAAACTAATTTATATTAGTGCATGGTCAGGTCTAAATAAGAGACTTTTCTATTATGGTTTTCCTACTCGCAAAATCTGAATCCTCATTTATCCCAAAAAAAAAAAAACATCTGAATTCTCAACTTTATTTTTTGTTACACTTAAATGTTGTCTGCAGAACGGTAGAAACAACTTATGAAATATGTGTAGAATGATCAATCACGAATTGAAAAGATACTTGAAGAGTTGAAGTGCTGAAAAATATTTAAACTATTCAATTTGCAAGCCAATTTTTATTTTTTGGTAAAAATTTGAAAGCCAATTTAACTACGCTAGTCATAAGCTGATGAAGTATCTTATACGCATCAAACTCTTTAGGCCAGGCCATATTATGCTGGTTACAAAATATGTTTTCTGTAATGATATATTAGCCTGCTCCAGTAAGAATTTATGTTCAATGAACGCTTCCAATACATAGTAGATCGTGTCATAAACAAACTTGCTGGATAGAAGGCTAATTGCCAGGCGGAGTGACCCTTGCAAAATCGGTCCTTAGTGCAATACTTTTTAACCCTATGCAAGTTGCAAGGTGCCGATTTCTATTTGGAAAGTAGAGAAAATCCAGAGAAATTTCATATGGGGGGAAGACTACCCTTCCAACGGCATTTGGAGGTCTGGGCCTCAGACGGCTAACTTCTGTGAATGATGCATGCGGTGTCAAATTGGCTTGGAAATTACTTTCAGGTGTGTCTGGACTATGGCCAGATATTCTTGAACAAAAATATATGCTTCCAAGCCATGAGACTCTTTCATGCGAAGCTCAGAGACTCTCAATTATGGCAATTTATCTGTTAGCATGATGATATCATCAAAGAAGCGACTAAATGGCAAATTAGGAATGGACAAAGCGTTTCCTTCTTTAACGGTTACTGGCTTATCCCTAGAACAAAGCTCAAAGACTTATGCATCAGACCCTTATCCCCAAGTGAGGAACAAATTCGAGTGGCTGACTGGACTGCCTTTGGATCATGGGATTTCTTCTCACTCGCTTCTATCCTTCCTAGCGATGTCATTCTCAAGCTAATTGTTGTGCTTCCTCCCTCACAAAATGCCGGAGAAGATGTCATGACACGGGGTGCTACTTCAAATGGTATCTTTTCCTTCAAGATTGCTTACTTTTTATTGGAAAATAATACCCCTAACCTCTATTGCCAAACTTTCAATTTCATCTGGAAATGGAGAGCATTTGAAAGGATTCGTCGTTTTATCTTGATTGTCTTTCATAATAGACTTCCCACGAATGTATGGCGCAGCCCTTGGTCTCAAATATCCCCTCTATGCGAATGGTGCAATGCTGCAAATGAAGATAATTCTGCACATTCTACAGGACTGTGATTGTGCTCAAAATTTCTGAGCACGAGTCGTTCACGTCAAGAAGCTGGCTGCCTTCTCTTCATATCCTTTAAAGGACTTGGTCACCTTTAATTTGAAATTAGATACGGGCATCATTTCAATTTCTAACTGCGACTTATTTTGGGGAATATCCATATGGCACCTATGGAAATGGAGAAATCTTCGCAGTTTTGACCTGACCTCACAGAAGCCTACAAACCCGACAGCTTATTTGTTGAAAGTGTGGAAACCTTTTACTCTAGATTATGATCCAAATCAAGAGTTCCTTGCTGCAATCGTTGAATACCACTGTACTTTGGTCCCCTCCCCCTCACGGCTGGATCAAAATTTACGTTGATGGTGTCGTGTCTCAACATGATATCAATGCTGGATGTGGCGGTGTACTTGGAGACCCTTCAGGTGAATGGATTGCTGGTTTCTCAAGCCACTTGGGTCAAACTTTCAGTTCTGGAAGCTGAAGCATGGGCAGTTTTACAGGCACTACAACATGCTTGGGACATGGGTTTTAAGAGCATAATTCTCGAATCTGACTGCAAAGACATTGTTGATATTCTCCACCATCAACCTGACGAGTATTCTCCCCATAGCCTTGTTATCTTGAAGATAGCCAAGCTTTTGTCTCTACCCTGGAGTGTGAACATCATACATATTTCCAGGAACCAAAATATGGCTGTTGACAGATTACCAAAAGAGGCTCTTAATGTCTCTTCCTTTTTTCATTGTGTTTCTCCCTTTCTGAGGACTTTAATGGATACTGATTGTATGGGATCCCAATCCCGCTCCTTTCCTTGGTTGATTAATATACTTGGGGCTTTGCCCTCTTTTCTACCAAAAAAAATTCCATTTGATGAAGTTCATCCAACTCAATTTTTTTTTAATATGTAAAATTTCACTTAATTTTTGCATGGATATATTCCATCCAGACAGAATTATAAGACAGCTTCAAAATCCCATTTGATCCTAAAATATAGAATAAAGACGTAGTGTTTAATTTTTTTTCAATATTTCTTCTCTTTAATTTTGTCAAATTATAATTCATTCTAAACACTTTATTGTAGTCATTAATTTTAATAAATTGTAAAATTCAAAAATCAAATATTTCTTACAAGTTTAAAGATATTAATTATTTCTTCTGATCCTATTTATAAGTCATTTATATCATATTTATTGGAATCAATGAAAACATTAAATTTTATTGATTTTGTCTAAAAATTCAAAAAGTTTTTAACTTTATTCCTACTAAATATACTTACTTTAAAATAAAATACTTTAACATTTAATAAGTTTCATAATATTTAATAGAAACAAAATAATAAAGATGAATATAACAATCATTGAAGTGCTTTATAAATGAGACAAATGCAAACACTGTGAAGTTAATTAGAGGAGTATTGTTTTTTAAGAAATGTGAAGTTAATTAACTTTGTCTTTTAATTCTGATTAAAAGGAGTATGAGAATATTTTATACACAATGGGCAATATTTAGGTACGTTTTCCCCCATATATAAACAGTTGCTATTTTATATTGACTTTTTTACAATCTAATTTAAAGACCTTTGATTATTCTTCAGTCACATCACATTGAGCGAATCAATTTTAATGCGGTGAAAGAGTTGACTTCTTTCTTAACTTTTTCCTGTTCCATTCAACCGAAAGTTACAAGCCAATCATGTTTCTTTGTGATGATAATCCTGTTATGTTTCTCACAATGACCAAAGGATCGCATCATTTCGAGAAATAAAGAAACAGAAAATTGGTTGCTCAACTTCATTTGGTAGAGTCGCACTCACTCACTTAGGGTGCGTTTGTTTTATTATCAATTGTATAATTGTGTTTATGTATGTTCACACACACCTACACCCACACTTTTAGTATTTGATCGAGTTTATGTTTTTTATTCCATGAACACTGGCCACCAGATTCTTTTTTCTTTTCTCCTTTTACTTTACTAAACTTTAATTTGTAATTTTCTTTTTATCATATTAATATATTCATTTGCCCTTTATTAAAAAAAAAAAACACACTCCCATCTCTTCATCAGGAAGCAGTGGTTGATGAAAGTTTTCATCATGTGAATCCAACCATTTATAATCATTATTAATATGTGAATGCAATGCTTTTTAGTCAAAAAAAAAATAAATAAATAAAACACACACACACACAGCGCGCGCATACTCCCACTCATGCACACATGTAAAACAAATGCAGCCACCACATGTGTGAGATGGATAGTATATCATTTATGGATTCCCATTGTCTAGGCATCCTCACTGAGGGTGCGGTTCAGTCCCCACAGAGTGCAAGTTGTGAGTAAGTGGAAATGTAAATGAATAAGATATTTAATATAAGGTCACGAAAAAACCATATAAAAAAATAAATTAGGTGATGTTAAAATTCAAAAAGTTTTTACACCTTGGTGGTATAACTTAAAAAAAAATTGTGATTTTAAGATTGTTGTTGGTAACAAGGTTAGCTAGTCAATCAGTGTAGTTGTTTGCCTTTTTGAATACACAGCCAAAAATAATCGTCTAATCTTTCACAATAAAATTCATGATATTGTTAAGAATTTCAAGAAGAGGATGATGATTAGAAAGTTGTGTTGGATGAGCATTAAAACTTCAAAAAAACCAGAATAGATTTTGACATTAACAAACTTGCTACTTCAAGAAAGATTAAGACCTTTTAAAATGTTTAAAAGTTATGTGACAATATTGGAGAAATAACCAAGATGTCTAAAGAAACCTCTAATTCAATTTCCTAATCATCACAAATGATGCAGCCACAAGCAGCGGCAGCATTTCACCACTTGTATATCACCACCGTTAGATGGTTTTTCCATTTGATGTTGGTGAAAGAGAAATGGATTCCAAGTGTCTAGAGACTTGAAGAGTACGAAAACCTTTCCACTTCACAGAGCACGTACTTGAAAAACAGTCAGACCACAAGCTTGATGTCTCTGACCCTGATCAAACACAGCATACAACTTTGAATTATATTCAGACACTGCATATTTCAATTTGTATTGTCTCGTGCCAGAGGATACATTTTAACCATTAAACATGCTCGAAGTTTGTCAACAGCTATATGCACTTAATTTTTTACCCTAGCTACGTAGCTGCTTATAGAAGCAAATATTGTTTCAAAGTGAAGCGTTTCTTTATAGCACCAAGTTTCATAACATGAAAAATTTCATATTCTTCGGCTTCTCGTCATGGTGGCTCAATCAACATCACTAGTTTGATTCAGACATCAGGCAATATTCACACAAGTCAATCAATGTTACTAGCAAAAGCAGACATGAATGGCAAGTTATGTGGATAAAGAATAAGCAATTTATCAGTAATTTTCTTCCTTTTAAAATATTGGAGTAAAAGACATTGACTGCATATTTATAATAAAAAATATAATCCAACTTTCTACTGCTACATTTGGCAGGAGCTAATGCCCAAAGAATATTTATCAGCACTTAATTATCCGCCATAGCTTCACTAGGTGCTCTCTTAGTCTTCAGGTCTATCCATCAAGAGCAACAAGTAAATTGCATATATCAACACTCTTCAGACAGTAGCTTAAATTATATATTTTGTTGTCCAAATTGAGGCTCCGGTCAATGGTCCAACTGTTTGGTTCGGTTCTTCAAACAGTGTTTCACATGCCCATTCCCCCCATGCAGCACAATCAAGCTCTACATTTTCAGACAGATGCTCACCTGCCTAACTATTAAATGGTATAGTTGCTCAAGGTACAGCCAACTTCATTGGCCCCCCAAAAACAACCCATAATTCGGATAGCCGCCAAGTTATCCCATCCATCAAGGTGATTAATTTCTGGAGTGCCATGGATCATAGAAAAATATAATCTGATGTTTCCGAAAGTCTAGGCCACCTTAGACTATATATTCTTGATGGCAACTAGGACAAAGAGCCACTGGCCACATACAAATCACTATGATCATGTATGATCATGCTAACAGTCAACAAGATTCAAGAAGAAGAAGAAGAAGAAGAAGAAGAAGAAGAAGAAGAAGAAGAAGACAGTTAGGACTTAAGATTTGAATAAGTAACACTGTCAAATAAATTAAAAGATATTACCATTAATACATTTCAATAACTAATAAGAACATTTCTTCACACAGCCGCTATTAGTTTTACGCCTTTGGTAAATATATCTAATTACATTTTATTCAACAACATTGACAACATTCCTGAACACTGTAAGACTACGCAAACAGGACCTGAGAGCTTGAAGGAGTCAGATCAGAGAAACTGTCTGGTGCATCAATCACATGCCATCGAACACCAAAGCTCCATTTTTTGGTACAATTCTTCTTTGGGTTCAGTCTAAGGATTTGACCAACTGCAACATGAAGATTCCGGCCCACAACATAAATATGGCAATCACAAGCATTCACAGCAAAAGGTTTACATATTTGTTCAGGCAACGGGGGGCCTTCTATGGCTTCCCAAGAATCAGATTCTGTGTCATAAACCTTAACTTTCATTCTTTCAAGCTCTGAGACAACAAATAAGTGCCCGTAAACCACAACACTTGAACCCGTCCACCCTTCTCTAAGTCCAACAGCCATATTCTCCCAGTTATTTGTTCTTGGATCATAGACCTGACCTCTAGGAGAGACATAAAATGGCCACAACCAGCCTTCTGTCACCAGAAGCTTCCCATTGAGAACTGCAGTATCATAAGATGCCATATTTGTTCCCATGCTGGCAATAGAATGCCAATTCCCGTCGAGAGGGTCCAACACCTCGGCAGAATCAAGCTCAAAAAGGTCTGCACTGTTTCCCCCGGCCACATAAATCATCCCATCAATCACTCCACTGGCAAAAAATGACCTAGCAGTAATCATCCGATTCATCACAGTCCAATGATTTTTCTGCATCTCGTATTTCACTACCGAGTCAAGGGGACAATCAACATCAGAGACCATTCCACCACATACAAAGAGCACGCCTTCTTGGGGAATAGAAATACACCTAAAACCATGAGGACAAACCTTATCCTTACATGGCATTGCAGGGATACAGTGCCAAGAAAAGTGGGTAAGGTCAAGAACCTGCCACTGGATCTTTCCAGTGCACTTATGGTAGGCAAAGACGAAAAGCCAAGGGGCTTTCAGACCCAATTGCTTCCTGTGGGTAAAAAATCTCTCCTTGTTACCAAGAAGCATATGCCATCGCTTGCAGACGGCTCTACAGGTTGCATGACTCTGAACCGGAAGCCGGAGAAGACAATTAAGTGCAACATCATCAGGAAGGCCCGGAATCAAGGGTTCTTGGCTGTGAGAAAACTCTAACTCTGGTGAAGAATTTGAGAAAGAAGGTTGGACCACAGCTAACCTAAATTTTGGGGATAATGTCATTTGAGGATTTCCTAGCTTGTGCACTGGCGCCTGTTGAGATGACAAACGCACACGCTGCATCTTTCTCTCTCAGAAAGATACGCAAACTTTACAGAAACACTACGGTTTACTTTACTATCATGCAATTGCAATTTTTCAGCAGGATTGGGGAGCAAAATTCCAATTCAGCGAAGCGAATATATTCCAAAATTGCTTGAACTGATTCCCTCAAAGATTTATTGCAAATAAAGGAATCCCCAAATCCAGCATACAATAAAGAAAAGTACCAATTCCTCTTCCACAACAATCTAAAGGGTCACCAACCCACAGAAAAATTCCACTTCTCAAACCACCCTACTTTAAACGTGTCTGGTCTTACAGAGAAATTAGGACTCTGCTCTCTTAATCTAAAACCGGAAGCTTAATCACCAAAGATGTTTAACTAGGGAGCTAAAAAGCCTGTACCCCTAGAATTATATTGCAATCCTGGAACTTGTAAAACCCCCCAGAAAACAATATCTCAGAAGAAACAACTCAAAAATCTCATATTCCAAACCTAAAGAAACACGGAAAAATTGATCCAAACAACTCCAGAAAAAAGAAGGGAAAAAAACTTACAGGCAACGAACTGCTAAGTGCTTAGGGCAGGTACCAAAAAATCGAAGTCGGTGACTAAGAGATGAGATTCAGGGTGAATTCGTGCAACTAGAGAAAGTCATTGTTAATTTCTCATTGAAGAAAGATTTGATTATTGTGTGGCCCATCCGACGCCTGTAGCTTCAGATGCATGCGAAACCACGCGCTCTTTGGGTTATTTATTTGAACACGCATTCGTAAATGCGAAGACTGCCCGGTGTTTCACGCGCTACGCGACCTGATCATCAATTTCAATATAAAAACTAATAAGGAAATATACAAATATACATCGCCTGCTTTAAAAATGTAAAATACAAATAAGGATAACTGTCACATTCACCAACCATTTAGCTCGGCCTCATGCAAATCACTCCTCCATTTATATTTATAAATTATTTTTATCAATCTTATTACTCTTTTTATCTTATTTATAAATTACTTTTAATATATTTTATTAATATTAAAAAAAATTTTAAAACTCATTAACTCTATTTTAAAATTTAATAAGTTATTAACCTTATCCCTATTAAATATACATATTTCAATAATATATTTTCTCTCTTCAATATTTAATGGAGGGTAAAAAAATTGTGATAAAAATTTAATAACATGACTTATAAAGAGTACTAAAAAAATTTGTCTTTCTTTGCTTTATAAATAAAACCAGAGGGAGTAATATCAATACAAAAAAGTAAAATAAATAAAAGTATATAGAATTTTAAATATATCCTTATATAATAAACTTAAAAAATGATATCACGTTACATTTTCTCTTTCATAAAAGATAATTTTAAAAATATCTTTTAAATATTATTTAAAAAGTCGTACTATAATTTGTAAATAGCATCAAATGAACTTTTTAAGATGTGTTTTGTAAATAAGACTGGAATGTGTAAATATTCTATAAGCACAATTTGCAAATTTTAAATACTATTCCTGAATTCTAAATCTGACAACTTGTTCTTTATATTATCATAGGCATATGTGCATGAAAACATTTATGTCGTGTTTGGCATAATAAAAATATTTGTAGAGAATAGAAATTATAATAGAAAAGGAAAATGATTTTCCATTGTTTAATGCAAATATAAGCAGCTCACTTTAATATAAATAAAAAAAAGTAAGGATTATATTATTCCTAAAATTCTAAGTCACAGATATGGTTTATTTCAAAGTTCATATAAAAGTACAATAGTTAGTTTAAAATTTTAATATTTCTTTTGTGATCAGCAATGTTAATTAATTGAAGATCTTGAATTATTGAAATAATAGGAAAAGATCATGGTCTTTTTTATAATTAAAAAGTAAAAATTATTAAAATA